AACACACACACACACACACACACACACACACACACAACAGACAGAAGCCTACTGTACATGTATATACAGCAAAAGCTGAGTTTTCATAATTTCCTGATCTCTCCCCAAACCCGACTTGACACAAGCAATAAAATCGCAACACGACAATGTTAATTCCGAAACAAATGTATTATAATTTGCTGGAATAATGCGCGGCTTACAGCAGTACATCCGTCATGAAGTTGTCAGCGTTGTAACTGATTATATCAATCGATTCTTTCTTACGTTTGGATGATGTTTTTGTTGTTGTACCAAGTAACGTATTCCGGTGTCCGTGGTATAACGGTTTGAGCCGCTTCAACGCTGCACGCAGAAATCCCGGGTTAGATTCCCGTGTGTGTGTGTGTGTGTGTGTGTGTGTGTGTGTGTGTGTGTGTGTGTGTTTGTGTGTGTGTGTGTGTGTGTGTGTGTATGTATGGGGGGGGGCGGTGTTTTTGTGTGTCCAGTTTCTCAGTCTTTCTGCTGGGACGTTGTATCCTTCACAAGCAGGGTTGGCCCTCACAGGCAGGGTGACCGCCCCCCCCCCTCCTTTCAAAAAAATAAAATTATCTTAATTGTGTCGCACAATATCATCTATCTGAACACCAGCAGACGTCATTTCCTTTCCCAGGCATCCTCTCTGTTGTTCATCCTTGTGTCCATCTGTTATCTCTATCTACATCCGGGACTGACAACAATTTCCATTCTTGTCCTAGTATACAAATTCTACATGTCTCAGATCGTCGTTAGTTTCAGGAAGTGCGTGGGAGGTTGGGTTTATAAAAAAAAATCTTTTGGCTTATTTCGAGAATCTGTCTTCCTGTAACTTCTTGCTCGGCGGTTCTTAATTTTTAAACGTGCTGCTTTGTTAGGATTCAGGTTCCTCAGCTGTTTGCCGCTGTTTTAATAATGAAATGATGGAGGACGTAATGTCTGACGATAAGAGGGGCCGTTTAGGACCGAATAGAACAAAGGATATTTATTTTAAACGTGTTTAGAAATGTAAAACAGAGCTTAACTCTCTAGTGACGCAATGGACACACATGTCCGATGAACAACGAACCAAAGAAAATGCGAACCGTAAAACACACATCTGAAATGGTCTCTTTTAAGCACAAGGGGGCTATCCAGAAAAAGGCTGTTCTGAGAAGATCGAAGGTAAAGTTTTTGCCCCTTGTTCAGTTTCTTTAAAAGACAAAGAGAGTTTTCTCTGTAACCAAACAAATAATTATACACCCCAATGGAACCAAACTTCTCCTTTAGGTAGTGCAATGCCTATTTTTGGTGTAGGTCAAGATTTCTGGAACCCCCCCCCCCCCCCCGAAATCTGGGTTAGCCCGCTTGTCCTTAAAAGCGACCAGATACGAAATGTCCAGCTTGGATCAGAGTATGCGTGGCGTCTGTGGCCTAGTGGTTAGGCTCTCGGACTCGCAACCGTAAGGTCGTGGGTTCGAATCCCGTCAAGGGCCCGACGTTGTGTCCTTGGGAAAGGCACTTTACACGAATTTTCCTCACTTCACCCAGGTGGGAATGGGTACCCGGCTATAGACAGCGAAAGATCTTGTCAGTTTGTTAGTGTTTGAGCGCTTAATCGGCTGCTCGCACTGTATGCTTCCCGGGAAGCTGAGCATGTTTGGGAGTGTTCTATGGTCTGCTGGGGTAATAATATAGTGTAAAGCGCATAGAGCCTGCTGTTGAGCGGGGATATGCGCTATACAAATGCTATCTATTATTATTATTATTATTATTATTATTATTATTATTATTATTATTATTATTATTATTATTATTATTATTATTATTATTATTATTATTATTATTATTATTATTATTATTATGCTGCAGTCTGCCTTTTAAAGTTTTCGATGCTAAAGTTCCAAATAAAAAAAATGTCCACTCTTGCACGGCTGTGAAATGGTCGCTTTTAATTAAGGACAAGCGGGCCAACCCAGATTTCGGGGGTTTCCAGATATCTTGACCTACACCAAAAGTGGGCATTGCCCTACGTATAGGTAAAGTTTGGTTTCATTAGTGTGTATATTTGTTTGGTTATAGAGAAAACTCTCCTTGTTTTTTTTTTAAAGAAAGTGAACAAGGGGCAAATACTTTACTTTCGATTTTTCTCAAAACAGTATTTTTCGGGACAGCCCCCTTGTGCTTAAAAACTATCAAATAGTTAAAGATCTATTCACAATATTTTCTGATTCAATATTGATGGTTGGTGAATGCTCTGGTGTGGTTTGTTCCTACTTTCCTTTCGAATATCTAGCGTCCATATCTCGCCTCTATTTCTTTTCGTGTTATTGTTTAGTGACATCTCTAATCTTCAGCACTTTTATTTATCACCACCATCATAATATCATCACCATTATCATTATTTTATCATTATTATCATTATTGTTATCATTATTGTTATTATTATTATTATTATCATTATTATTATTATTATTATTACTATTATTATTATTACCATTTTAAGTATTATTATCATTATTATGACCATCTAGTTATTGCATAAAACTGTGCCAAAAACTACACCAAAAAACCCCCAACTAACCCAGTACCTTTGTGTGTCTGCTTTGTTACAGGAAAACGGAAGCGGCGCAGCGTATCGGAGACGGACACACCGTTGTGGTCGATGTTGAGAAACAGGGACTTGGAAACATTTTTGAGGAGACGAGATATTAAGTCGCTTTTGAGCGGAAGCAGCAGTCTTAACAAGGCGCCCTCATAACCCAGGGCGGAGATCACGAAGCAGAGAGAGGGGGCGCCACTTCTCGGACCACTTCTGACCCGGAAATCGACTGCCAACCAACCAATGAGCTGCGAGCGATTTTTATGACGTCATAAGTATGGAGATGAAACAGAAATGTGCGGATTTTCAGCGGGATTAGCAAGCGTAGAATCAACTGAAGCATCACTTCTTTGAAATGGCTTTTGAATTACTAGTTTTTTGTCGTCCGAATAGGACTAGATCTACATTTTACAGAAAGAACAAGGCTTCCCCTTTATTTTGGTACGAATGAGCGAAAAAACAATTTTGATTGAACAGAAGAAAGAGAAAGAGAGCGAGAGAGAGAGAGCGAGAGAGAGAGAGAGAGAGAGAGAGAGAGAGAGAGAGAGAGAGAGAGAGAGAGAGAGAGAGAGAGAGAGAGAGAGTAGTAGTAGTAGTAGTAATAGAAAGTCAGAGTCAATGCCATCGTCAAGGTTGTGAATACTAGCGGCAGAGACAACAGTCTGGTAGACTACACCAACAGCCGTGATATGAAGGGTAACACCACAACTACTACATCAACCCCAACTACTACAACTACCACAACTATCATATGTGCGGCATCGTGGTGAAATCAGGCTCTCGTCAAACTAATGAAATCAAAGAAATCAGCATTATTTTCATTTTTTTGCCTATTGCAAATTTTTTCTAAGTTTCTTTTATTTGGTTGAACATCTTTTATGTCCATTTGAAAACACATTTTTGAGTGGATTTTACGGAAAAAAACATTGATTAAAGGCATAAACAATATAAGTTTCAGTTTCCAAGGACCCTTTGGTTATGAAGTTAACAAATTTTGGCGGCCATTTTCTCGCAGGTGACCCTGACCTCCTTCCGTCGCAAATATTTCGACTTCTATTAAACATTGACGGATACTTTTTTACCAAAAGGAAGGCAAAAGAACATGATACCAATAACCCCATACGATCGAAAAATGACGAGAGTTTGATTCCACCACGTCGTGACACGACATATCAATCACAACTTCAACAACTACCACAACTACCACAACTACCACATCTACAGCAACCACACCAGCTACCTCAGCAACTACCACATCTACAACAACCACAACAGCTACCACAGCAACGACAAAGCACATCAACTAGAACGTCTGTATGTTCCTCCCGAACACCCCAGCTGGATGGCTATATAAAGACAAGGTAGTGAAGGAACTTTTCGTATTGTATTCACCGTTGTTATGTTCTGACTGGTGACGCTGTTGAAAAGACATTCCCAAGAAGAAATAAGCAGAGTAGGCATCTCCTATGGCAACGGATTAAAACGAGGTTGTGATCTTTGGTTTGGATTAACTCATTCAGGAAATTGTTTAATATGCGTGTGCATGTATGTGTGTGCATTAGTGTGTATGTGTGTGTGTACAAGTGTTTGTGTGTGTGTGTGTGTGTGTGTGTGTGTGTGTGTGTTTGTGTGCGTGCGTGTGCGTGTGTGTGAGCGTGTGCGTGTGCGCGCGTGTGCGTGTGTATGTGTGCTCCCTGTATAATAGCTTGTTTGTATAATTTTGATATCGCAATACAGTGGTGTTGTTTCGATGTTCATGTTGAACACAGTTGGATTATGTTTGTAATATATTTTCCTTGTCACCCTTCTACGCTATACCTGTTAACTGTGAACTGTACCCCGGTTCAACAGTTCAACGGCTCAGGTCGCAGAATATTGTGTGTTGTACGTTCAAAAATAGTGAAATATGACGTCTTTTTCAGGTGAACTTGTATTGATTTATTCATTTGAACATTTTAAATTAATGAAACATTTATGCCATGCCCTGAACAAAAAGATGAGAATCGATTTATCAGTTTAAAAAACATTTTAGATAAACCATACGTTGTTTCCGTTACAATTATCATTACTTAGTTATGCAAATTTTTCAAAAATGGAGATTAGTTGTAAAACTCACTTGAAAAAGCAGAAAATTGACTTGATTCCATTGACTGCTAGTTCGTTCCTGATGGATTTCCTAACAGTAATCAGGCTAGAAATATAGTCCAAAAATATTTTTATTAGAGTGTACGATATGTTGATGGCATTTTTAGAAACATGATTTGAAGTAGGGAAATGGAAGAATGAAGAAGACAAGACCTAGGTAGTCAAAAGGAGTGATAGGTTGGGGATAATACAATGGAGACATACAAAGAGAGATACTATATATATAATACAAAGAGAGAGAGAGAGAGAGAGAGAGAGAGAGAGAGAGAGAGAAAGAGAAAGAGAGAAAAAGACAGAGAAAGACAGAGAGGGGGAGGATTGAGAGGAAGATAGACGGATAGGTAGATTTAACTTACGGGGAGATAGAGAGACAAGACAGAGACATAATAATTATTACAGTAAGAAAGAAAAGAGGGAGGGAAAAAGATTAAAGGGGGGACGAAAGAAGACAGACATTATGAGAAACGGTGACTGAAAGAAAGAGAGGGAAAGAGAAGGGGATGGTGTGTGTGTGGGGGTGGTGGTGGTGGATACGCACTTGAAAGAGTCCATTTGTGAGAAAGAGGGAGAAAGAGAGGGGAAAGGGTGGTGGG